GGGGCCTTTGCAGGACCAGCTGCTCTGGGTGTCCCCACAGCTCCCTGTGTCCTCGCTCCTTATCGGCTGTGACCCCTTATGCACCTTCTTCCACCTGGTTTTCCTTGTGATACTGACTGGGGCGGAGTTGGGGACCTACAGGGACACAAGCAGCATGTTAGGTTTCCTTCTGGCCACCCTCTGTGTCTTCTTACTTAGAATCCCGGCAGCCACAGGCACATGGGGAGGATACAGACCCTTTTCTGTACCCCTCATAACCAGCTCCAGGAAAATGTCTCATTGACTTGGAGTTCAAAATAGTCAAGGAGATACTAGCTCCATTGCCAACTCTTTCCTACGCCTGGGTTTCTTTAGAGATGCCATCCAATAAATCAAGAGACTTTTTTTAATTTTTTCCTTCCTTTTTTGGTTAAGGCTGAGAGACTAAGAAATGTGCCCTGCTTTAATGTGTGAGGAAAGAAGCTCTCTAATATCTGAGGGGTTTTTCTGCATTGTTTTCAAAACAAAATTCATTTCAATTAAATATTTTTTAAAAACATTTTCATAGGATTTTTTAGAAGAGAGGGTTGGGGAGGATGGGCAGCAGAGAAATCATAAGTGTCCTGCAAGGGCTTGTTGATTAAAGGTTGATTATGGGACTTTTGATGTGGGACTTTCATTATAGAACGTGATAGGCAGGAGCAGCTTTGTTTCTCAGAGGGAGGAGTCAGGAAATGCTGACTCAGGGCCCCAGGCTTACAGCAGTACCCTGAAAGCCCTCTTTCTGATCAGTTCAGTTTTCTGTGGGTGTGGCTGAAAGTGCTTTTGCCTGGCAAGTGCAGTTTCCTTTAATGGGCAGTTGAATCTGAATACTAAGGCATTTTGCTGGCTTTTAGAAAGAGGTAAGAAGTAAACTTCATTAAGAAGTCTCATTTTAGTAGTGTATAGCATTTATACGTTTGGAAAGCATATTGAACTTGTGATCTGGAATACTGATGTGGTCAATATATTTTCTTTTAATCATTGATTACAGAAAGATGCTGTCCATCTATTTGGAAGTAAAGCATCTGTTTCTGCTCATTCTCAGGATTCCATATTGTGTCGGGCTTTTGCAGCACTGGGTTTAGGCATTAGCAATGAAATCTTCTGTCTCCTGAGATTCCATAATGCTTGGTGTGCCTGTCTTGAAACTAGGGAAAGGGTATTTACTTGCTGGATCCATTTGCTCCTGGCTAGAAGTTTACAAAGTCCCATTCAGAAAGTGTATACACAAGACAGTAAATATTTGTTGAACATGCTGGGCATAGTGTCACCTCAGAACCTTTACACTTGCTTTTCCCTTGGCCTGAGATATCCTTACATACTATTTCTTCACTTCTGTTCTTTAGTCAAATGCGGCCTTCTCGATGAACCTCATCCCAGTGCACCCTACCCCTCCAGTTATCTAATTATTTATCTAACTACTTAGGTCATCGTATCCCCTTGCACTAAAATGCAGGTGCCATGAGGGCTGGGATTTTTGCTTGTTTTGTTCACTGCTGTATGTTACACACAGGTTTTTATTAGATAAATGACAGTAATAAATTTAATTTATAAAATTGTGCATATGTCACTTTGACTTGTGCATAATTTTTCTGCTTGTGAATAATCCAGATCCCAATTTAGACTGTTGCAAGGGACACAGATACTAAGATTAAACATTTGTGAGTCTATGTATGTGTGGTGATATGAAGTAGGAAGGAATCCACAGACCTGCAATGAGAGATGCAGAGAGTGTCAGTGTGGTCAGGAGTCTCTTCTGAGTTCCAGGAACCAAGCTTACTGCTGCCTCTACAGGTTGGGCCATTGCTGCAGAGTAGACCAGGAGCCCCCAAAGACCCCCTGTTACCAACCCTGGACAAGTGAAATCAGTCCCTAGACTCTTCTGCCAGGACTGAACTCTGTGCTTACTCTGTTCACACTGCCAAGGTCATTTGCGGTGAGAAGTTTGAAACTGGGGCCTGTATTCTTTGTTTCTTGACCCCCAATTTGAAAAGCCAGATCCTGCACATTCCTTGAGCTCACCTACTGGTTGAGTTTGTATACTCATTTCATGTGTTATTTCTCCCAACAGTTGGGAGTCTGAGTATGATACATGTTATCTAACTTTTGTTACCCTCTAATGATATCTTACTGGATCTCGGTAGGAATCTGGTACTTAGGAACATCTGAGATATTTTGATGTTGAGTCTATCACTTCTAAGGCTCATTGGCAGGCACCAAACTTGTTGCAATGTCCCTTTGTCTGGTTCAACATTTTCGGCCAGCCTCAAAGTTCAGGCCATCTTTTTGGATTGTGGCATAATCCCTAGGAGGTCTCTTTAAAATCAAAGTATGTTACCTTAGTGGGTCACCCATTAACCCAGGAGTGTTCATTGGTATGGACTCTCCACTGAATTGCCTGTGGAGAAGCAAATAGATCACACAGAGCATGAGCTTCAGCATGGTGCACTTTGATGGGTTGGGCAATTTGGGAAGATAGTGTTGGAATATTGAAACTGGTGCATTGAGTGGAGATAGCAGAAATGGCACCTGAGAGGCCCTGACTTCGAGGGAATTTTTTGTGTGGGAGGAAGGGAGGTTAGAAGAGAAATGAGAGAGCATGAAAAGAGATGTAGCAAGAACCATCAGGGTTTTGTCCCATCATCTTCTACAGCCTCAGCTGAAAAATGATATGAACTTTTCCCCCTTTAAATCCTGAGGTATAAGAATTAGTCCAATGTGCTTTGGGTTCACAATCCTATTTAGCTCCTTTCTCTTTCTAAGTAATGATTGGTTTGGGTTTGGAAATGAATTGACACACATGCAAGTCATCTTACATCTCCATGTCTTCCTTCATGCAAGTTGAGTGTTGAGCACAATGTTGTGTGTAGGAGTTACAGAGCCTAGACAAGAGGGCAGATAGGTCAGCTCTGGGGTAAGTTTGATGCTATAAATGTCTGATGCCTTGCTGTATTTAGAATACATATTTAGCATTCTCTTTTCTCCTCAATCCCCATGCTCGCTCATTTTGTAGACATGAAGTCTATGGCATTTGTGGAGTAGTTGGTGCAAAGGAGAGGAGACAGGGCTCACTGCACTGGGCCATTGGTTCTGGGAACAAGCCTGGCCCTATCACAGACTCCACTGACTTATAAAAAGTGTTGTACATCTTCTTACTGTCTGCCTTACCAGGAGAAATGAGGTAATATCTACTTGGACCTTCAGACTTCTCAGAAGAACAGCGTTCTACAGTAATATGATTTCCTAATGCATTTGCTTGTGTTGTAATGGAGTATAATTCTACTTACCTAAATTTCTTTAAATACTTATAGAATATCTGACAGCCTTGCACAGGGGAAGCAGTCCCACTTTGAGAATGAGATCTGGGCTTAGAATTGCACCCTCACGGGGTACAAGGGAGCCTGCTCTAAATTTATAAAATTAAGGAAGCTGGAAAATGAAAGAATAGAAGCTAGAGTTGGTGGTGATGGAGGGAGGGAGTTGTAATTATTTTCAGAGTAAATCATGTTGTTTTACTAAAGATCAATATCTCAATATATTGTAAATGTGTATGTTTATTTTAATTTAGCAATATTACATATTGCATGACTCAATGCAGTATTGATCTTGCCATCATCATTCTCTGTATCAATAGACTCTTTACCGGAGACCTTTTTAACATTTACTTTATTATGTTCCTTGGGCCACAACCTGCTTTGTTTATCTTGTTTCTGACTCTGATACCAGCAGTTCCACACAAACGCTAACATCTTTGTAAATGCATCTGTAAAATAATAATAAGTTACTAAATAATGCTTTCTCTTTGTTCTGTGGAAAAAGGAACGTCTTTATAATTTTTTTTTGCAGTATAATTTTTTATGTAGACTTTTTGAGCCATATTACAATTGAGTTGCCTATTTAGTCACTACCAAAAGGACAAAAAATGGGGAAGGGTACATATGTGTCATCTCCAACATACTATAAACATATATATATATGTTTAATAGCAACTGATTTGTATTTTTAGAGCAATAATACTAATCATATCCCTTTCTCTGAGGAGAAGAAAAATTACAACTTTCATTTTCCAGATTATACAATATAATGCATAGAGAACATACCCTGTCACCCAAAATGTAGCATGAAAAAATAATTACCAAATTATATGTTACATGCTAAGGACATATGAAAAAAAGTCACTTTGTCTCCTCTCAAATTAAGAATATCTTATATAAGGAAATGACACCGAATACCATGGAACTGCTCCTTAGACCACAATAATCTTACTAAAAAATTATGACTCAGAGTTACAGGTCATATCAAGTTAGATTGTGGAAATCTTAATAAAACCACGAATTTTGTAGGAAGGAGCATTTAGAGGATATGACTGCCAGTTGACCCATTAGGTGCACCTGGGCAATCAGAGGCTCTTCACCCCATCCCCTGTCCTTGGAATATACTTTCTGTCCCCTGTTCCCATAGTGGGGACATTTTCAAGGACACAGACTTGAGAGAGCAATGTGCTGTTGAGACTATATGTGGCTGAACCCAGTTAAGGCTTCCATATGAACTTTAAGATTCTGGTAGGCAGGTATGGAGGTCTACTTGTTGTATGGCTGCCCAAGACACAGCTTGTAATTTTCCTTGCTTATTAAAACTGCCACCGACCAATCTGGAGTGGTGTGCCACTCTCTTTGGTCTTCCTTGTCCTCTCTGCAAGGGGCCGGTTTCAGATTTCACCTGGGGAAGCTTCTGAGGTGGTAAAACAACAATTTTCTGTCCTGACAATTTACTAGAATTCAAACAAGCATTTCTGAATGTGAAACAAGTTATACAATTTTATGTCCTCATGTAAAACTTCATGATGTATGAAATTTATGAATTTCAGCAACTGTGTAATGAATAAAGCTAAGGCATCCTTTAAACAAAGATTGAAAAATGTCCTCATTATTTGCTGTGTTGCATGTTAAGTTGTGATGTTTTATTTGAATCTGTTTCAGAATCGAAGCAAACGCCTGGAGAAGGTCCATGTAGTTATTGGACATAAATCCTGTGACTTGGATTCTCTCATATCTGCCTTCACTTATGCTTATTTCTTAGACAAGGTGAGGGAAAAGAATGTTTTGCTTTTTATATTCAAATTTTTATGTAACTTTCAAGAACATTTTTTGGAAAAACAAGGGACCTGTTAGCTTTAATTTTTCATGTTCTGGTTTATTATTGAAGAGAATAATGTATTATAATCCACTAATCAACATATATTTATTGACTGTCTATATTAAGTGTTTTTCTGTTTATTTCTTACCAGCTGTCTTCATAATACATGGTTTCAGTCAGACCAATGTTTTCAAATTAAATTTTTTTTATAATAGTTGATTACTTTTATGGGAATTCAGAGAACTAACAAAAGTAAGGGTCAGAATTTCTTGTTTCCCTGTATCATCCTTGTTGTATAGTCTTGCCTTCAGGAGTAGAAAAATATGTGCAGAATAACCTGTGTGAATATTACATGAAGTACAGAGAATATTGGCTGGAATTTTCAGTAACAGAGGTATTACATTTCACATCTATATTCTGTTTTTGCCTTTTAGCCCTGACCTTCTACAAAAAGGTCATTCTCAGTCAGTGATAATCTCCCTTGAGCAAGAATTTTTGTATTCTGTGAAGTCTGTAGAGGTAGAAAAGACCTTTCAATAAATTGTTTTAAAATTTCCATTCCATAAAATACATCAGCCCATGATAATGTGTCACCCTAAAGCCTAAAATTATACATTATGAGTGTCGTAGTGCTATTTCCTATCTTGTTTCTGACTCTGATACCAGCAGTTCCACACAAACGCTAACATCTTTGTAAATGCATCTGTAAAATAATAATAAGTTACTAAATAATGCTTTCTCTTTGTTCTGTGGAAAAAGGAACGTCTTTATAATTTTTTTTTGCAGTATAATTTTTTATGTAGACTTTTTGAGCCATATTACAATTGAGTTGCCTATTTAGTCACTACCAAAAGGACAAAAAATGGGGAAGGGTACATATGTGTCATCTCCAACATACTATAAACATATATATATATGTTTAATAGCAACTGATTTGTATTTTTAGAGCAATAATACTAATCATATCCCTTTCTCTGAGAAGAAAAATTACAACTTTCATTTTCCAGATTATACAATATAATGCATAGAGAACATACCCTGTCACCCAAAATGTAGCATGAAAAAATAATTACCAAATTATATGTTACATGCTAAGGACATATGAAAAAAAGTCACTTTGTCTCCTCTCAAATTAAGAATATCTTATATAAGGAAATGACACCGAATACCATGAAACTGCTCCTTAGACCACAATAATCTTACTAAAAAATTATGACTCAGAGTTACAGGTCATATCAAGTTAGATTGTGGAAATCTTAATAAAACCACGAATTTTGTAGGAAGGAGCATTTAGAGGATATGACTGCCAGTTGACCCATTAGGTGCACCTGGGCAATCAGAGGCTCTTCACCCCATCCCCTGTCCTTGGAATATACTTTCTGTCCCCTGTTCCCATAGTGGGGACATTTTCAAGGACACAGACTTGAGAGAGCAATGTGCTGTTGAGACTATATGTGGCTGAACCCAGTTAAGGCTTCCATATGAACTTTAAGATTCTGGTAGGCAGGTATGGAGGTCTACTTGTTGTATGGCTGCCCAAGACACAGCTTGTAATTTTCCTTGCTTATTAAAACTGCCACCGACCAATCTGGAGTGGTGTGCCACTCTCTTTGGTCTTCCTTGTCCTCTCTGCAAGGGGCCGGTTTCAGATTTCACCTGGGGAAGCTTCTGAGGTGGTAAAACAACAATTTTCTGTCCTGACAATTTACTAGAATTCAAACAAGCATTTCTGAATGTGAAACAAGTTATACAATTTTATGTCCTCATGTAAAACTTCATGATGTATGAAATTTATGAATTTCAGCAACTGTGTAATGAATAAAGCTAAGGCATCCTTTAAACAAAGATTGAAAAATGTCCTCATTATTTGCTGTGTTGCATGTTAAGTTGTGATGTTTTATTTGAATCTGTTTCAGAATCGAAGCAAACGCCTGGAGAAGGTCCATGTAGTTATTGGACATAAATCCTGTGACTTGGATTCTCTCATATCTGCCTTCACTTATGCTTATTTCTTAGACAAGGTGAGGGAAAAGAATGTTTTGCTTTTTATATTCAAATTTTTATGTAACTTTCAAGAACATTTTTTGGAAAAACAAGGGACCTGTTAGCTTTAATTTTTCATGTTCTGGTTTATTATTGAAGAGAATAATGTATTATAATCCACTAATCAACATATATTTATTGACTGTCTATATTAAGTGTTTTTCTGTTTATTTCTTACCAGCTGTCTTCATAATACATGGTTTCAGTCAGACCAATGTTTTCAAATTAAATTTTTTTTATAATAGTTGATTACTTTTATGGGAATTCAGAGAACTAACAAAAGTAAGGGTCAGAATTTCTTGTTTCCCTGTATCATCCTTGTTGTATAGTCTTGCCTTCAGGAGTAGAAAAATATGTGCAGAATAACCTGTGTGAATATTACATGAAGTACAGAGAATATTGGCTGGAATTTTCAGTAACAGAGGTATTACATTTCACATCTATATTCTGTTTTTGCCTTTTAGCCCTGACCTTCTACAAAAAGGTCATTCTCAGTCAGTGATAATCTCCCTTGAGCAAGAATTTTTGTATTCTGTGAAGTCTGTAGAGGTAGAAAAGACCTTTCAATAAATTGTTTTAAAATTTCCATTCCATAAAATACATCAGCCCATGATAATGTGTCACCCTAAAGCCTAAAATTATACATTATGAGTGTCGTAGTGCTATTTCCAAATCCGCACAATTTTTAATTTTCCGGAGTCTGATTTGTTTTAGTCCAATTTTGCTTGGATCCTTGGCTCTGAGCATATGCATAGCTGATCTACAGTGATTTAAATTCACATGAAACCCAGTCTTCCTGAATGAGCTGTGGGTGGCAAAAATGGCTTTAGGGCAGCAGCTGACAAAAATGCCAGATAAAATATTCTGATCTCTACATATGGGCTTTATATCACATTTATCTTTAAATCTGTTCAACTTTACAGGGGAGATTAATTGGTGTAAGGAGATAAATGTGCCTGTGTCAAGACATGGCATATTAAATACTAGTCTTATTAATTGGATTTTTCACTCCTAGAAAAAAATGTTGCTTGTTTTGAGAACATAGAGTTAACTGCCGGACTGAACTTTAGGCTGGTAGTGGCATGGAAATTGTGTAATAATTATAATAATACCACCAGCAACTCCAATGAATATAATAATGTCCAACAAAAAGAGTGGGAAATGTAGTTGTGATAGATAGATAGATAGATAGATAGATAGATAGATAGATAGATAGATAGATAGATAGATGATAGATAGATAGATAGATACATACATACATAGATAGATACATAGATAGATAGATAGATAGATAGATTATAGTTAGGTATAGATCAATCAATGTGTGACTTCTTCTAAGGCTTGCCAGTACGCTCTACTCCCTCTAGAGTATTAACACATAGGAGAAGTACAGAGCTTTGCAGCTTCCCATGTATAATTCCATTGAAATACTTTTCACTCTGGTGGGTAGGTCCCATTCTATGGATTGGGAAAACTGAGGAGCAGAAAAGAAAATGACTTTTACAAAGTCACACAGCAGAGGCTGGGACTAGAACCTCGTCTTCTCACTGCAACTTTAGAATAAGTCCTGCAAGGATAGGCTCAGGCCACATGCTCTCAACTCAAGGTTCAATATCAAGAGTTAGATATACCTCTATCAGGTAATCAGGAAAAAAAGCTTGCTGGACATAAATTGCTACTGATAATTACACAACTGTGGCTCAGCATTAGCCTGACAGGTGGGAGAAGTACTTTGTTAGAATGGCTTTGGGCTTTGTGTACTAGTGCACTGGGTGATTCATTTGTTTCACTCAAATGTGCATTGTCTACTTTGTATCAGACTCTTCTACGCATTAGGGAACACAACTGAACAAAAAAGACAAAAATCCCTGCCTTCTTAGTGCTGAGACAGGGAGGTGGCTGATATAAATGTTAAAACCGTGTTGTAAGCACTTTGCTTGTTACAGAGCTGGTGATGATGCCATTTGCTTTTTGCAAAAACTCAGTGTCACCAAACCCCACATTCTCTCAGTGATGGTTAGGGTTAATTGCTATGCTTTCACAGTAATTGTTAAAAGCAACTTAATTTTTTAAATGCCTATAGAAAAATAAGTTTATTATTGTGAATCTGAAATTCTCTACTTCTACCCATTTCGTTACCCCCATTGCTGCAGTTTTTTGGTAAGAGGTTTGTTAATGTAAGATTTTTTAAAATAACATAAGAGATCAACAGAGATCACCATCCTAGAGCCTGTGGGCCAAATCTGGCTTATTTGTGAGTTTTCATTAACCTACATAGTATTTTTAATTTTTATACATTTTAATTGTAACAATTAAACATCACAGATAACACCCCCAACCTAAATTTCTAGTTTTTCTTGAGTAACTGAAAGGTCTATCTATCCTGGACCTGAATTTTTTGCATGTTCCCGGTTAGCTGGAGCTAAATGGTAGGCATCTCATGCAGATGGGGCATATAAAACTTTCTGTGTCACCACAGTCCTCGCCTGCCCGGCTACAACCATGCTGGCTTTCTGCCAGTTCCAGAAAGCCATGTGAATTTGTTTCCCTGAAGAGGAGAATGTACATATTTTAAATGATGGAGGGTTTGAAATGAGACATGAAATATTCCAAGTAAGGCATGAAAAGGTTCATGTAGAGTTACAAGAGGTTGAAACATATTAAGGGCCACTTACCCATGGATAATACTGTACTAATCAGGTTCAGGAAAAGTTGGTTATGAATGTCAAATGGTTTAGCAAGGCCAAAGGACTTTAATTTCCTTTACAGTTGCTCCTGGGCTTGAGAAAATGTAGCTGTTTTGCTCCTGCTGGTGTCAGTGATTCAGTCACCTTTTTCTTGGTAGGTCAGCCCCCCCGGGGTTCTCTGTTTGCCAGTGCTGAACATACCAAGAACTGAATTCAACTACTTCACTGAGACCAGGTTTATTTTAGAAGAGCTAAATATCTCTGAATCATTCCACATATTCCGCGATGAAATTAATCTGCATCAGCTGAACGATGAAGGGAAGTTATCTATAACACTTGTGGGCAGCAACGTGCTGGCAAGGTAAGGCTCTGTGAGGTGCCCGAGGGAAGTTTGATCTTTTAAGTCTCTCCTGGGCAAAATATCACCTTGTTCAAGATTTTTGTGGCTTAGGGAGTCATATTAAACACAGAGGGCATTCAGAGGGAAGGAAATGTTTTTTCTTCTTTTATGTCAAATCTGGGCTATGCCCATCTTCTGTTTTTACTTTTGCATTTCAAATGTGACATCTTTCAATGGAAAGTTCTCATAAAACTGACCAAAATAACGATTTTAAGCGATTTCAGTTTCTTAGAGCAACACAGCAGTCTTATGTATTGATGCTGAAAATGTGTAATGAAAATTGGAATTAAACGCTAAATAAAACTGAAAGGTTAAGAAAGAAATCTCAGTGGTGAAATGAAAAAATATACAGAGCAGCTATACAAGTCATTTGATGATTGGTTCATTCATTCATAGCATTTTATTTATTTTATACAAACAGGATGGACTTTTTAAATGTTTGTGTAGTTCACACTCCTTATTTTATGGATGAGAAATCTGAAATCCAGTGTTGCAAGTGACTTGTCCAAGGTGCTACATGCAGTTAGTAGAAGAGGTTGGATTAGAAATTGGGTCTTCTGCTTCCTTCAGTAAATACTTTAGAGTTGCTAATTGGTGCAAGAATCTAAAGGTACATCAAGAGAAATAAGATAAACTGTCTGCCTTCAAGGAACTTACAATCCAACACAACAATGTCCTTTTGATAAGCTTTCTAGTGCTACTGAATGAAGCAAATCACTTGTTTAACATCGCAATAGTTTGAAATGAAAGAGTTTTTACATACTGCTTATTTGCTAATTGTTGATGACATTAACCAGTGGACCTTGACCTTGATATACATGAAATAAAAACCTGCAAAGGTATCTAATCTTTTATTTAACCTTTCTTAAGAAGCGTGTTTAGGTATGAATACATTGTAATGTCAGTCATGCAGTTCAGTTAAGAGTTTTGAAACTAATTTGCCCATGTGGGCTATTTTTATCCTCTGCTATTTGAAACATTCTTTGAATAATATTTATTGATCACTTATTGACAAGTGGTTGGGAGTTATTGGTAGGTTATTGGACTGATTTCGATTATCAGTGTTCAGGATGATAATGTGATTGACTAAATTTATGTGTTAACATCTTCAAACCAACTAATGCAAGTAAATATGGATAAAGATACTGCAAGAAGCCAAAGGAGTGAATTATGCAACTTGTGTCAGTCAAACTCTTAGGACAAATTTTGTAACCAGTGAAACTTGAAAAATTTGTGCTGGTTTTCAAACTAAAGTAGTGAATTCTAGCTTTGGGATTGTTTATGAAACAATGCTTTTTGAAAATAAATCGAGATCTTTGTTCCCTTCATTGCCACTCATTTGCTTTTGGCAGACAGAAAGAATGAAGTTAGTTTTATCCTCATCTTTCTTCCTGCCTTTGATAAAGCCAATTCTATCTCATGGTTAAAGAATGATTTTTTTGGTCCAGCACTGTGATTGGTCATATAAGCTTTGGAACCAGATTATCAGAGTTTAAATACAGGCTAGTCTATTTACAAGCTCTATGACCTTGGACAAATTTCTTAATGTCTTTATGTCTCCATTTCCCCATTTGTAAGATAAGAATTTTACTAGAACCTGTATCATAGGGTCATTTTATAATATAAAACATGATAGTCCTCTGAAAGTGTTCGTAATAGAAGCTCAATAAATATTAGCTATTGTTACATTATTATTTTCCAAGAGCAAAACAAGGAATAGTGCTAAGGTGTGAAGGTGTTCTAGGACTCTTGGAGGGGCAATTAGCTGGAACAAAATGTGGAAACACATAGAATAAGGTCCTCTGCTGAGTCATGTGAGCCTACTCATATATTTGGCTATTGAAAGAAAATCATTTGTGTGGGAGTGCAGATTAAATAATTCCAAAAAGGAAACATGCCATATATCTTTTTCTTCCTCTCTTCCATTTGCTTTACAGTGAGGACAAAACTTTAGAATCAGCCATTGTCAAAGTCATTAATCCAGTTGAGCAGAATGATGGCAGGCTTGAGTTCCAAGAATCTTCCTCCTCCCTCGTGGTGAAGGAGATTCTCCAGGAAGCTCCTGGGCTCATCACCGAACAGCTGGCTCATCTCCTCAGAGGTGAGAGATGACTCTTTCTATTAAATACTGGAAGGCTTAATGGAGTGTCTCTCGACTTGATCATGCAGAAAGAGTGCGATCTATTATTGGGTTAACAATCCCTTTAAAGACCACGGGAAGCTTCATCAGAGAGGCAGGGAGTAAAGAGTTTGTTAAAGAGTAGCATTATACTGAATATTAAAAATGTGCATTTAAAAATAAGCACGAAGGATCTTTGCTGTTTCACAAGAATATTAAATGGAGCTGCTGCACCTCTGTCGGGGAGCTGGAATAGCTCCTATGGTCATCTAACAGCTGCTGGAGATGCTTCTTGCCTTGCAATAGCGTGTGTAAGAGACAGAATTCCACATTCCTATATTGAAATAGCTCCTGATGCTTATATGTGTTTGGTTTACATAACACTGTTTAGACTGCAAAATAAGCACCTTTCATGTTGGTGATATTGTGTCAGAGCTTTCATAGCCATATTGTCACCTCTCTCGCTGCCCTCCTTCACCTCGTAATGTTCATTTTCACTCAACCTGCTTGAAGCACTGTTTTCTCAGCACATGATCATCAATTACTCTTATAATCTCTTTCAGCTCTGCAAGCAGAGCCCAGCAAATCCAAAAAGTGGTTTCCAGACTGGAAATAGTTCCCTTTGGTGTCACAAAACTACCACAAAAATTCAGTATTGTCTCATGTAGGACAGTTTTGAGTTGGTATAAAGTCTTTTTTTCTTTCAACACTCCATCTTGGTAGACGGAGATTTTTCTCAGAAGTATTTAACACAAGAAAATGAAGACCAGTGATTAACAGACTGAAAAAGTGAAAAAAGAAAGAAGACCTAGAGTTTGTTGACTCAGTCCTTCTGAGGACTCTCCTGCGCTTCCCATTTCTACCACAACTTTGGGAGAAGGCCCGAGTGTTAGATGGTTCCTGTAAATGTTTTAGAACGTATGGCCCCAGGAAATCTGTCTGAAACATTTTTTTGGCTGTGGGCATCTGTATAAATGCTCTGTGGTAACCTGAACCCTTAACTAAACTAAATAAGCATAATCATTTATCTCTGTTGACAGAGCAGAAGGAAAATAAAGGTAACTGGGGATCTCAGTCAAGAGGGAAGTTGGTTGACAGAGCAAATGTGTTATGCAGGCAAACACTAGAGATACTTTGTTTAAATATCTTGCAAACTAAGAAGTTTAGTTTATTGTTCACAAAATACATGTGTTATTTACTAGGAAAGCAATGTAGCCTGTAGCCAATGAATAGCCCACCATCACAATTTTCTGTAAACAGTAAAATCATATCAAACTGTAATACATTGGTACAAAGATATGATTTTGCTGCTAATGATAATGATGATATTCAGATTTAGGGAATTAGAAGGGACACAGGCCCTTTTATTAGTTGCCTTAGTTTGCAGAGCTACCAAGAATTAGAGCAATGCTATAGGACATTTGTTTTTTTCCTGTCATTGGAGATTTTTCATAAAATTGGACTTGAAGTAGCATCAGGAAGCTGACAGAGCAGGGATATTTCATGTCACTTGAAAGTTGGAATGTGAGAAGATAAAGTGCCTCTACCAGTAAATATACTGTCTTGAGAGAGCCAGAGTCCCTGAAGCCTGGGAGGTGGAAGACATAAATGAATTACTACAGCGGGAAGGGCTCCAGAGACCTTTGGTCAAAGTGTGCATGTATGTGTGTTTGTGTTCACATATGTGGAGGAGAGATGGAACATCACTGAATACTTTTGCCAAGAGGGAACTAAAGGATGGTGATCTAAGAAGTTTGACTTTACAGAGGCAACTCAGATACCCAGTCACAGGCAAGAGGCCAATTTCTAGAAACTTCTGAATCTTTAATAGACATAAGAACACAATCAAGTCACCCTTCGCTCTGTTCACTAAACTCAAACTTGTATTTCAGAGTTTTCCAATCATGTATTAACACTAAATCTAATGGGAAGATTTATTTATATGCCAATAAATAATTTGAGGATTCTTTATTTTCATAAATGATTAATTCTCTTTCTAAAGGGTTTTCTCTATAAACGGCTATGATGTTACTTTGTATTTTGGGGTGCTCAAAGTGATCATTAATTTGACACGCATTTCTAGATTATATTTATGCATTCTTCTAGTCTTGAAGGAATGCAAAATTCCAATGCACACCTTTGCCATAAAGAATTTTGAAATATGTCTATTTCCAGATGTTGTGAGACTAAATACTTATGGCTGAGACTTGGAAGAATCTTTAAAAGCATCATAATTAGACCTCTGTTAAAGATACATTATTATAAACTTTTACCAAAAAAAAAAAAATCTGAATTTGCCATTAACTAAGCACTTAAACAATTTGATTGGTCTTTGCCTTTTATTCTCATGGCCATATCCTAGGACAGATGCATCATGCTGAGGCACACTGTTGTGCTGTAAATAAATTTCAAGTGGCCATGACATTGACCCCCTCCCTCAGTCCCTGGTATGCTAAAAAAAAAATTATAACTTTCAATGTGTTCCTTAATATGCAAAAGGGTGGGTTTACTCTTCCTCAGTCTTGTATGTTAGCTCCTTCTCCTCTGTTCAAGTTCTAAGTATTGCAGTGCCCTAGAACTCTGTCCTGGGACATTTTTTCTCTATATATTATCCTTAGGTGACCTCATTTAGTTCTGAGATTTTAAGTTAAATCCGCAGACTGTGACCCCCTGTTTCTCCTGCTGTGACCTCTCTGTAGAATTCCACATTCATATCCAGTGCCCACCAGACATCTTCACATGAATGTCCAATTAGCCCTCACATAGCTGTAATGGAGCCCTTTAGGTCCCTGTACCTCCAAACCTGCTCTTACCCTAGTTTCCCCATATCTGTAAAAAGTCCTGCCAACCACCTGGTTACTCAAGCCACAATCCAGGAGTTAAACTTGATTCTTTCCTTTACCTTTCCTTCCACACGGATCCATCAGCAAGACCTACTGAGTCTACATCTACAGCATAACCCGAATCCATCCACTTTTCCCATGATCAAGCTGTGATTCTCTCTCCTTGACTAATGCAGTAGCTGCCTGACTGTTGCCCTCTTTCCTCCATAAAATCTGTTATCTGCACAGTTGTCAGAATGGCTTCTTATAGTTCTACCAATTGCTTACCTTTCTATCTATCACTAAGGTCCTCCCTCTTATCCCCTTAACTCCAGAGCGTAAGCTTTTTGAGAAAAGAAATCTCGGGTGTTTTTTCATGGTTGTGTCTCTGGTGCCTGTCACATAGGAGACCCTCAATAAATATAGTCATAAATGAATTTTGCAAGATTGTTTATATCTTTTCCATTTTTAGGATTCTGTTGATTTAGTTAGTAGGTCCATTTAATTCCAGCTCATCCCTCCAACCTTCTTAAGGTCTAGAATTTGGACATGGTTCCTGTTTCTTATTTACTTATTTTTAGTAAACCCGTTTCTTATTTGTGTTTTTTAGCTTTTACAAATCTTAGTAGAATTTGTTTTGTTATTTTGCAAGCATTTGTTAAATTGTCATCTTTTGGTTGTTTTAACCCTTTCAATGGAGTGTAGCACACATATAAAGAGGAATTCAAAACCTAAATATAAAGCTCAGTAAATTATCACAAAGGAACACACTTAACAATTACCTAGGTAACAAAATAGAACAAGATCTTTGTGCCCCTTCCAAGCACTACTCAGTTCCTCCCTGACTAAATGTAACCACATTCTGATTATTATAGTACACACTTCCTTGATTTTCTTTAGTTTTGTCTCCCCTGTATACCCCTAGGATACTACAGATTGGTTCTATTTTGTATATTATATAAATGGAATCATATGGTTTATACTCTCATTGTTATTAGATCTCTACATTTATATTAAATGTAGTATCTATTTGCAAAGGTCTATCATCTATCATCTATCCATCTATTTATTTATTTATTTTATTATTCATATCCTCCCTCTATAGAATATGTGATGTGGCTTACAAACATGCATGGAAATAAAATTTAAAAAAGTCAGAGTCAGAAAAAATAAAAACATGTAGAGAAAAGAATAAGATCAAGATAGAATAAGAAAATTGAAGGAGTGACGATAGTATGCAAGTTGAAACTTTGGATATGAGCTTCCTGGAGCCAATGAAAAAATAGAAATCTAGTTAATTATAATGTTTTTATTATTACTAAAACAAATACATAGAACAGTTCCTCATTAAAAAAAATAAGTCTAAAGTATTTTTTCCTTGCATAAGCCTTCTTGAAAAGACACCTAATAACATAGTAGGCATCCTCCAACATATAGAATAGTGGTTAATTCAGGAACCGCATGCATTGTGTCAGGTACTTCCCACTCCTCAATCTGTTAGTGTATGGAGATTGTTTTAATTAACTTCACCTTTAGTCTAGTAGCTTTATTTTTCTGCTCCAAATTTCTTTTCTATACATGCTGAATTTTTTTTCTCTAAATACAGAAACAAATATTTAAATTCCATCATGCTAGAATCTGTTGTGGTCATATTTATTGCTACAGAGATATATCAAAAGGTTTGCATGTGGCATAATATTTATTTGAAGATTGAAGTAGAACCTGGCTATTGTGAGTGTTGCTAAAAGATTGTATACCAGTTAGAAGTAGGTATCACGTTGCCAGGGTAGAAACAGTGTACTCTTTCTCTCAGTCTCCCTTGTCACTGAGCCCTCTGGGCCCTGACAGTTCAGTTACGGATAAAGGTCAGTGGGTTGGTTTTCATTCACAGCCGGTGTGTGTTCAGACTTCGTAGGAAATTGATGAAGTTGACATAATTTGCATTTTCTTACATTAAATTTCTTACAATAGCTACGTCTTGCTTTTGTCTTTTAATAAGACATACCTCAAACTTAGAAATTTCAAGATACAGATCACTAGCATCACTTTCATCTGGAAAGGCACAGATTCACTGACATAGGTGACTTTCTAACTATTTGTGTAAGAAATTATTTGTCTAAGGAGTGTGCTAATTCCGATGAGAACATCAGGTGACCCTGA